AGGGAAAGATACAGATATTTCAGATGAACAAATGACAGAAAATTGGAAAAATTATAGAAAAATAACAAACAAGAAACAAAAACATAAAATATCATTACCAGAATATAATAATGATCATGAATCATCACCAAAGAAACCAAAATTTTTAAAACCGCATTATTAGTATTTAGTATAAATCATTTGTATATAATGAATTAAGTTTGTTACATAAACATTATTTACTTAATATAATAAGTTGTAAGTTCAATGTATAGCATAGAAAAATATAAAAGATTTATGGTTTTATATACTATTGTAATAAATTGTATACTTAAAATGTAGAATGTTACTAAAATAATTATTACTTTTATTTTATTTATATAAATATTTAAATGTAGTTTAATTAGATGTGTACGCAATATTAATTTGTTTTAAAGTACTATATAATTTCACATAATTATTTTAAGTTTAAAAATTTTATGAGTTTTAATTATTTTTGTCATTAATTAAATCATCATATTGATCAAGTAAGCTTGCAAATGTTTCTACAGATATGAGAATAGTGCCATTTTTTTCTAATCCTTTTTCCCAAAGTAAATTGTAGCTGTCATTTGGAAATTGAATTCCAATAGCTTCAAAAATACTTTTTATTTCTTCTTTACTTCGAAGCTAATATTTGTTATTTAATTAATAATGTATGTGTATTTATAATGTATATTTATATTTGTATTATTTAAATATATTTTTAAACATACTTTAGAGAGATCTGTATGACTAAGACCATGCCTTGTAAAAATATTTGGAAGTATAAGGCTATAAGCAGTTGGTTTATCTAAATTTTTATAAGAAATCCCTGCTGTTGGAATATCTGTAAAGATAACAAAATGTTATTGACATTTTTTTTTATGTTTAATCTTGAGAATTAAAACATTTAATGTTATTATACACATATTTCAAATACAATTTTTATATTTCTTTCAAATTAAAAATTCGATATAATTATTTAAAAAGAAAAATTAAAAAGAAATTTATAAAAAAACATATACTTTTTGAAAAAAGAATCCTTTGTAAATTATTAGAAATATACGTGCATGTAAAAAGAATATAAAAATAATAGTAAAACAATTTTGTATGGTACATAGTAGCAATAACAATCAAAATTGCTCAAAAGTTGTTAAACAAGTATGTTGATAACAAAATGTAGCATAAGAGATATATAAAGAACACACTAACATGTAGTATTTATGATATTTATACTTCCTATTGTAGTATTGTATGTAGTATTGTAATATTGACATTCTAAAGGAATTTCTGAAAAAATAACATATTAGATATGTTGATTTAAAAAAATTATACATTAAATAAGTATTCTAATGTTTGTTCAATATATTAGACAGCAAATAAAAATTTAACATTGTAATAAAATAAAAAATTAAATATATAAATATATATATTACTTTCTATTTTTGGTAGTGTAGGAAAGTCATATTTCCAATTTAGAAGTTTTAATAACTCCTTGTAGTTTATACCATTTTCTTTACGTATTTGAAGCAGATCTAATAGAGGTATCAAAAATGTTTGATTTATATGTATTTTATGTTTATCTAAGATAGAAAAAAGTTGATTTTCTGATAAAATACTTGTATAATCCTGTAAACATATATAAAATTATTTTAATTGATACAGAAGTTACATTTTTCAAATAAAAATAACATGGTACTTTATCGAAGGATAATAAATCTTCATAGACATCTGAAAATGAAATTTCTGGTACATGTTTCTTTAATTTCTGACGTAAATTATTTATATATTTCAAATAGTTTTGTTGTACTATTACTTCATTATTTATAGGGCAGTCACTTAAAATGTTCAATTTTTCAAATATTTCCTTTTTCCCAACTTTACCATGTATCATATTTGTGTACATATATATATTTTCTAAATCTCTAAAAATGATTTGAATAATTAAAAAATCTTTTTTGAAAAAATTGGAAAAAAATTATTATATAACTTTTTTTAAAATATGTATTTGCTTATAAATAAAAATATAATTTTCATTATACATGTTATTTTGAAGATTTTATTAGCAATTGGTGTATTTTAATTTAAATAAGAATTTTGATGATTTTATTAGCAATTGGTGTATTTTAATTTAAATAAGAATTTTATTTTTTAAGTTTTCTCTTAGATTGATTGTAATCTCATTTATTAATAATATGATTAATTAGTTTGATTATGATTTATTTATTAATAATATTTATTACTTTATTTCACCAATACGAGGATGTGAACGTTTCATGAAATCTGCCAAGTTAGAATTTACTATTGTATTGGAGTCTGTATTAATCCAAGTTAAAAGTTTTTTTAATCGTACACCTTCAACACTAGCATTCCATGATTTTCCAAAGCATAAATTTTGATCAAATGGTTTCTTATAACTGAAAATGTAATTTTAAGTTTCGTAATACACAAGTTATTAACTATCATCTATCTTATTATGTCATACTGTCTATTGATTTGCTCTGCAGGCAAATAACTGTTATGACTTTTTTTATACATCTCAAGAAGTTTTTGCTCTGGAATATCATTTTTTTTTATTTTTTCTTTAAGAAGTTCGGCCATAGTTTCTCCTAATTGATAGAAAATATTTTATAAATGTATTTTACAAATTTACTTTGATTACAAATTGCAACAAATTAAAAATATATTGTAAATATTTTATTAGAATTATATATCTTTCTCATTGTTAAAAATATAATAACTGATATTTTATACCAGATTTAAGTTTCTTTCCAAAAGTCACTTCTAATGGATTCATTCTTACTGGAAGATTTGAAATTTGATAACGTGTTTTACCAACTTCTTTATTCCAATAACTTTTCATTACAGTATGTTTTAATTCAGAAAGAATTGTTTGGAATGATGTCTCTTGATATGGTTGTAAGCATTCTTTTACCTTAAATAATTAAAATACATAAATAATATTTAGATATTAACTTCTTATTTAGTATACAGCAATATCAATTACTAATCATACAAATTATATCAATAAAAGAAACATAAGAAAAAGTTACAAATATGAAGAGCACACAATTCTAAAAGTAATAAAAATTGTTATCATTTTTGTATCATAAATTTCAATCTTACACCAATTATTTGTTTGATATTATGTATATTATTTATATCTGATGGTAACATTTGTGTATGTTTTTCATTATAAACAAGTACATTTTTTATAGCTTCAATTTTATCTTCTAAAGAATAATCTATAAAACATTGTTTAATGTTGGATGTTAACGTTTTATAACTTTCCTATAAAAAACATTCATGTAGCTATTAAAATAAGATCATTAAGAGTTATAAGTAAGTACTACAAATATATTTATTATATACCATAATTAAATAGTAAAACACAGAACATAATTTAGTTATATATTCTATTTTAATACAAAAATTTTCTATTTACATATATTGAATAAAATGTTTTAAAAAAGTAATAATTTGTTAATAACACACAGTCTTACAAATTTTTTGTTGCAAGAATTTCCATCTTCATCAATTAAAGCCAAATATTTATTTTCTGCATTTACATTATATTTTTCCATTCTAAAGTATAAATGTTATTAGATACATAAATGAAAGTATATCAAAGTATTATCAGTCGAAGTTATGTTGTTATTAATTAACATATAAAGATAATTTGACAAAAGAAATAGAATATGAAAGTTGTATTACAGATTATCATTTTATTTGTGTCATTTCATTTTCAATTTATTTTATTTTAATCTTTATCGATATAATTTCATATAAGCTACTTATCTTATTTTTTGTATAAAAAAATCATTTTATAGAGACTTAATTTTTCTTAAAATATTAAAGTAAGTATAAATATGTTATATTTTGACAATTTTTTATATTACATACTTCAAATATCTATATTCCAATTTTAATTTTATTTTGTCTACTTTATTTTAATAATATATATTTTTTCTTATTATGTTATGTTTCATTTATATTTAAGTTTATGTTTAAATTTTACAATCGATTACGATTTCTAACTTTAATGTCGTATGCTATGATTATATAGCATAAATGTACTATACGTATATATATATGTGCTGTGTAGCAACTGCAAAGAAATTATAATAATATTATAATAGGTGTAAACAGTGCAAATTATATAAAATAATAATGACAGCAGTTAAACAAAATATGAAACGATCTAAATGGGCTTTGGATTTTGCTCACAAGTTGGTAACTTTATCATTCACGTTATATATTCCAAATATAGTGCAATTTCATTTAATGTATTTATTTTATCGGAATTTTTGTTAAATTTATGTATATAATACTATATAAACTGTAAAAAATAAATATATCAATAAAAATTGTTGTTTTTTAATATTCTTTATATTTAAGTAATATAAGGATGTAAAGGTTATGATACAATATTTTGTTTTATTTTTATCATTAAGTATCAAAATATTTAACACATATATTGCTATAGAAAAGTATTGCAGAAAAAGAAGTAAACTTCTATTTTATGTATTCATTATCTAATTTATGTTAATATAGATATTAATTTTATATCAATAAGAATTAATTTTCCAAAGAATGATAAAATTTTAAATGGTTTTATTTGTAGAAGTAAACAAGAGAAAAATATGGATATTGCTTCACCACCAGGTTATACACCTGCTGTTGCTTTATTTCATGCTGCTGATTCAATTAGAGAATCAGATTCTAATCATTTGATAATTAAGAAATCATGGGATTTAGCCATAGGACCAATGAAACAAATTCCAATGAATTTATTTATAATGTATATGGCGGGTAATTCTATATCAATATTTCCTATTATGATGGTTAGTATGTTAATCATTAGACCAGTGAAAGCATTATTTACTCTTCAGCAAAGTAAGTATATCGAATTGTATTTATACATATTTATATGTATATACATATATGTGTGTGTATAGATAAACATACATTTCATAATGATTAAAAAGATGTGATATACTATATGAAATTCAAATTATATTTTCAATAATTACTGTTGCATTCAATTTCATACAATTTATGCTCTAAACTTTATCTATTACAGTATGTAAATAAAATTAACTAAGAATATGTACAAAAGTACCTAAGTATACATTTAAACACTTTTAAACAGAAAAACATACATAGCTATAATTTATTTTAAGTAAATTGACTTACTAATGTTAATACTTAAAAATTTGTTTTAGCATTTAAAGTAATAGAAGGAACTCATGCTTTTGGGCAGAAGTTTGTGTATTTTTTGGGGCAATTGATAAATATTGCATTAGCATTATACAAGTGTCAATCAATGGGATTACTCCCAACACATGCATCTGATTGGTTAGCATTTGTAGAACCACAAGCACGCTTGGAATACTCTGGTGGTGGATGTATATATGTATGACACAAGATATAATTATATAAAAACATAATATGTGTATTTAAAGTAAATAATTTAAAATTTAGATACATTTTATTTTATGTAAGTTATAAAAATATTCATGTACAACAAAAAATGTTTTATTAAAATTGAACCAAAAAATTGTCACATGTTTACACATGTACAATAAACTGTAGTAAAACTTATTCCATAAATATAATAGTAAATTTGGCCCTTCTTTTACATAGTTTCTATTATACAAGTTTAAAATTAGTAAGTATTAGTAAATGTATTAGTAAATAAGAAAATGATTCAAAGTAATAAATATTGATAGACATGTCAGTTGTTAATAAAATACTTTTTTCTTTTCTTCATTTTGCTTTAGTTTATTAACTCTTTACAAATCACTTTATTAGTTACACATTTTGTATACACACGTGTGTATATATATATATCACATTTATTAAATAAAATACTTCTGTATGTAATGAATACATTTTTGTTTTAAATTACTTTTTGTATAATTTGAATTTTTTAAAACAAGTTTTATATTTTGTTATTAACATTTGTATGACTTTCTTTACATAATATGCTTTCTCCGTGTAAAAGCAGCATTCCATATATTAGTAAATAATTATTATTCATTTTTTTCTATATTGATCTTTAAGTTCCTTTATTTTTTCCATTATTGTATCAGGATCATCTAAACGGGGTATCTGAAATGAATTAGATATAAATTATACTATCCAGTTGAAGCAGTTATATTAAATTTTATTAGGTTATACTGAACTATATTAAGAAATAATAATTTTAAAACATACGTTATAGTTTTGGCTTAGACATATGCCAACATAAATTCCAATGCCGAAAGTTATCTAAGAAAGATATTATTATACATACTTTTAATCTACAATATTATTGCTATTTGTAACATAGAAACTTTAATTTACCAAAAACTTAAACATGTTTTTAATTGATTATTGTTTGTATAAAATATTATCACAAAAATAGTATCTGTTTTACTATTTATTTGATTTGTAAAATAAACGTAGTATTATGTCCCAATCGTGTTTATTTATTGAATGTATTTACGATTTAGGTTATTTACAAACATTAAATCTGTCTGCATACTAAATTTTGGCTGCTTACTAATATTTATGATATTTTTTATTAAACCTTTTTTAATAAACACTTTTATGGAAACTTTCCAGTCTTTCTACGTAAATACGATGAAAGTGATGCTACTGTTACAAAGTTCTACTGTTATACATCATATATATACGTACTTACTTTCTTCTACGTCGTTCCTGCAAAATGCGGGAATATTTGATTTACTATAATAATTATGTCATGGTATATTATTTGTTTTTTTAGTATTTGAACCATTATGGTAACTAAATAATTTATTTTATTTTATAAATATTTATTTAATTTATATGAAATATTACAAATGTAAAATACAAATATGTTTATTATAATAGTATAATAATTAATTAAATTGAATAAAAAAGTTAAAATAACATTTATTTCATTCATATTTTTTCCATAAAAATGGAAAATAATTTCTTCACTTTAATAAAAATTATTTAAAGGCATATTTAAAATAATAAAAATTATTAACTACTATATCTTATCGCTATTAATTTAAAAATCTTTTAAGTGAGATTAATGTTTTCATATTACCTTAAAGTTATTATAATTCCATTAAGGTAAGCTTTATAAAGAATACATGTGTTTTCTTCATTTGTAAGTTCTGCAGTGCGGTTAAAAAATGTAGAACGTTTTTAAGAAATTCATTTTATTTTATTCATAACGACTTATTAACGTCTAGCCAGGAACACGTGTATGTACCGGAAATAATTGTAAGAGAAAGCAGGACAGATCTAAGATTTCAAATCTACATGCATATGTATACTTTATACATATCTACGTAGGTTAAAGATATTTAGATCGTTTCCAATAATATTTTTCGGTTTTAAACAATATGGTAGCAGCAATTTATCGATACCTCAGTTTATAATATATAAAAAGTATCTAATACAATAAATATAAAATTTTGCTTGTCATTCTTGTAACAATAAATTAATCATTATACTTTGAATCAGTTTAAAACTTGATCCGTGACTCGTTATTAGAACTTTAAATGATATAATTTTATTTGAAACTCATTGTTCTTTAAACATTTGTTTATATCAAACTTTTTTCAAAAATACCTTTCTTTCTTTCGTAACAAATCATTTATGAAACTTTCAATCAATTTCCTATAAATTATTGATCTCTAACATAATGTTACGACATTTGAATGACAAACTTAAAGAAATTGGCGACTCTAAAGATACGTTCATTATTAAATTAATAATTTCATCGCTGCATTTATAATCAAAATCAAATTGGAGCAAAGAAAATTTCCGATTTTACCAAATCGTGTCACTCTTAAGACTCAGTAACATTAAATTTCTTAGCTACTTGATTTGATAAACAATTAGTCATGGTAGACGAAGAAGACTATGTACGTATAAATCTTAGGAGAAACGAAATAAGAAGAAAAGAATATAATACATTGAAAAATTGACAAATGACAACAATTAAAATAGTATGATGTAGCTAAATATCTGTATAAAAGTCAACATTAATTTTGCCAAAAACAGCTGCACGTTTTGAGTAATTGCACGAATAAAACATCCGAAACTAATCATTTTGATACGTTTGATAGTTCTAGTTTATATACACAGTCCTGTTTCAGAGGATTTCGATTCACTGATCGAACATCATTCAAATTATTATGTAATTCACGCGCATTAGTTTACCATCGTTTTTCATGACAAGGAATATTGCTATATTTTTACTAATATGTTAATGTTAAGTTGGACAAAGTTTGAAAGAAGTAAAAAGTGCCTCTCTGTATCTGCACAGGCAGTTGTGAAACGATGGAGGGAGATCGGCTTGCATGATCGGCCTAGCAAACTCACAGCCAGTAGGTATTCCGCTTTAGTACGTGGTCAAACTAACATCATCTCCAGTCAGTGTATACACGTGGGTCCTTATTTCCACTTACCAAGTAGTATTCACTGGTTTTTCTTCGTTCGACGAGTTTTTGCATGGTCTTGAACGGTTCGGTTACGATCGGTCGGTGTTTGCCCGCGAGCGTACGAATCTTTTGGCCTCAAAATCAACAGCGGGACTTTCTTGTCGCACGACACCGAAGAAGAGCGTAACTTCTTTCTACCATAATACATTCCGTGATGTGCATGTACTCGGTACATGCAAACTATTAAATTTACCTACGTCTGCCGATCGTTTGATAATTTTTCGCAAATATTCGTGCATGCACGGGATTACGGTAGAAGTGAAATTTTCTGTGATCATTGAAAACTCGAAACGGAGTCACGTTGATTTACTTCGGGGTCAGGCACGGGGATATCATCTTTGTATGTGTATACATCGGATTTAATGATCGAACCTACAATTGTTTACAAGGAGAGATAGTTCGAATATGTCAGCTACCATTTCGAAGATACTGAGCGGCAATGTTGGGAATGGGACCAATGTAAATTACGATAAAGATCGTGTAAGTACCGTAATGTTGAATAATGTGAACGTAGAGTATCGATTGTTCCGACGTGATAATAGTTGTACTAAATTGCATTAACTCTCGTTTACGAGTGAGAATTAAAAATACTAGTTGACGTAATATGTGCAAAAAGGAAAGTAAAACATGGTAGATAAAATTATTCTAACTAAATGAACTACGAGTAGTTGTGACGTGAATGTTACTTCGAGACGTTTAATAATTATTTATTTCAAGTGACAATGTTTTCGCAAATAAAAGTGATTGAAAGAATGCATTCTTAATCAAAGTTTCTACCCGGCAAACTGTTCTATTTTAATAATATCACTGCTCAATGACTATGCATAAAAATAAAAAAATAAAAATTATATCAGATTAAGGAATTAATTAGAGCATCTATTTGAGGTGAGAATAATTTTGCAAATAATAGCATTTTTGGTAAATGTCTTCGTTTTATAAACTATTTTTGGTTTTAATAATATTACGATTCAATCACTATCTATTACTGTTATTTTGATAATGATTTATAATATTGCATTAATAAAATACATACATATATAAAATTAATGTCAAAATTTAATGTATTTTGAATAGATTTTAACATTCTTTATTTCTATACCTTACATGTTCAGTTTAATAGATAGAAGCAAAATAATTACTCGGTAAAATTATCCATTAATTATCTAGTACTAGACATATTATTTGCACCAATGTAGACGTTTATAGAATACACTTTTCCATGCATGACTGACATGCTCGAGAACCGATATATTGGTTTTATAAGATTTTGTATCATTTTCACAAGATGTCAGGAATAACACAATTGATTTCATTTTACATTGTTATTTATGAACTATATCTTTTTTCAAGGTAATAATTTAAAATTAATGATTCTCATAAAAGTTATTTATACATTCTTTTGATGGAAATCTAAAATTTAATGACATGGATCCAGCAAAGTATATTAACGTGTCATTTCCGTTGTTTCTTTGTAAATTATGCTTTCTTGAATAATAAATTCTTGTGGTAGGAGAACGGTGGCCAGACTGCTTTTGCCCATTACAGGTTCCCCTAAACCCTGATTTTCTTTTAGTTCGACGAGGCTAAGACATTTTATGTTATAGGAAACACGACGAACGTCATATTTCACGATATCTCAAGTTTTTACTTTGAGACAAATTTATAATATTAAAATTAAATAGAATAAAACATTTAACAAAATTGAATTACATTAAAGACTGAATAAATTTTGTAAGCAATTCTTAAGTAATTTTGTTGATATCTTAAAATAGTAAGTAATAATACGTCCATTAATTTTAATCGATATCAATGGAAAAGTATTAAAATACGATTAAATTGCAAAATTTAATTTAATAAAATTAATTTTATTTTATTTAATTCAAGTACTTGTTTATGGAACATTCTTAAAGATATGAATTTAAATAGATTTGAAACGACTTACTGATTAATAATTAGTAATTTAATAACAAAATGTTTAGAACATTTAACATAATTAATATATATTTAATACAATATATTTTTTAATACGATATTTTATAATTAATGTATA